TAGGCCGAGCAAGGGAACAAGCTCCAGATCCTCGATAGGTGAAGTAATTTCATGTTGGTTGCTCTTGAGCTACTCGTCCTCGGAAGCAGGGACGATCTGGTTGGGTAGAGTTGCCTTATCTTCCAAGGATCAAACTGCCGATCCTTTGAGTGTGGAGGTATAGCACTCTTTGGAAGTTTTTTGCTCACCTCGGATCATCCTAACCCCATTGACAGTTGAATATCTTCCTAACTTGATGGACGGTTGATGGAGTGGCCAGAAGTGAATGGATGATGGGTCGCCCAAAGATTGCATTATAAGCTGACCTACCATCAATCACTACGAACTCAGTTATCTGGGTGACTTGGGTGTCACCTTGGCCAACCATGATGGGAAGGTTAACGCATCCTTCAAAGGTGACAGATTCCTCTGTGAATCCAACTAAGCGTGTTGGACTGTTCTTTAGTTATGCCCTGGTCCATCCCAACGTCATGTAGGTGGTGAGGGATAGAATATTGTTTGAGACGCCACCATCAACTAGCACTCTTCTGATCTGCACATGGTCGATCAGATGAGAGATCACTAGGACATTGTTATGGGGCATATGGACTCTTTCCAGGTCAGAGTCAGAGAATGATATGGGGCAGGTCGACTGCTGCTCCTGAATGGCGCAGACTTCGCTCCTAGCTTCTCTGGCTAGCTCCTTTCTCTTGTTCCCGGATTGGCCCCCACTCGGCCCTCCGAAAATAGTATTTATGACCGCAGTTCGGTCATATCTCCGAGGTGGCTTCCTTAAATGCTTCCTCTCATCTTCTTTTTCTGTCGAGCTCGATCTCGGCTTCCCAACATACCTTTTTAAATAGCCATCTTGAATCAAGTCTTCAATCTGGAGTTTCAATTCCCAGCAACTCGAGGTATCACGGTCGTGATAGTGGTGAAAACTTTGATACCTGTCCTCGTTGCGTTTTTTCTAGATATCCTTTATTTTCAGGGTGCTTGAGGAGCTTCTCCATCCCTATCTCTTCGATATTACCGAGAATCTCAGATATAGGAATGGTTGTGGGAATGTATCGCCCGTAAGGTCCTCTTCAGCTGTAGCCCAAATCCGACTTCCGATAGTCAGATCGGCCCTGAGAGGACTAAAAAGATCCTTCCCTTTAGACTTGGAATCAGACTTACCTTTGTATTGGTTTCTGGATTTCTTCTGGTCAGATCTTTTGTCCGTCCGATCCGTTTTTGTTATAAGTAGCTCTTGCCTGTCAATCACCTTCTTGACCTTTTGCAAGAACTGAGCAAGGGTGGACGGTGCTTCTTCCACCAGCTTGACCGTTAACGTCTCATCGGCCAGGCCAGTGAGGAAGTAGCACATGGTGGAATCATCTGAGCAGTGCATGACCTTGAGCTACTCCTCCTGAAATCTGGTCACGTACTCTCTAAGTGTCTCGCCTTCCTTTTGTCAGATGGTGGTGAGATGGGTGGTTGTCTTCCTGACGTAGTGCCGATAAGAGAATTGACTTATGAACTCTTTCCCCAGCTGACTATAGGTCGAGATCGACTTGGCCAGCAACCTCCTGTACCAAGGCCGAGCACTTCCGGTCAAGACGTTCTTGGAAGGCTCGGCACTTGATGGTGTCTGATTCTACCTGGAAGTCTATAAGGCCCTCAAAGACCTCGACATAATCATTCGAGTCATTACACTCATCATAGGGGTTTACGGCAGGCGTCTTGAACTTAGGAGGAATAGGTGCCTCCAAGATGTCCGAGGTGAAAGGCGATTCGCCCATCTCACCACCATCGAACAAGCTCTCGTTCTTCTCGCATTTCGCCTTAAGAGCCTTGACCTGTGCATCGAACTATTTTTCATCAGATTGAACTCTTTCCTTGTGATCACCCCTTCAGGACATCAATGGGTTGTACCGAGGCTGGGCTTTGAAGTTCGAACTTTTTCATGTGCAGGAAGGAGAAATATTTGCATGCAGACAACGAAGTTCTTCTTCTTTTTGCCAACGAGGACCTTTCTCAGATTGTCCTCCTGGCGGCTATAATCGATCCCTCCGTTATCTGCAACGCGTTCGTCGTCGTCAAGGGGGAGAGGTGGATCTTGGTCGTCACCGTCATAATGCAGGTCCTCTACTCCAACCTGGACCCTGGATTGGGACCCAGATCGGTTTGCCCACATTAGTTCGTTGTAGGTCTCTTCCATGGTACGCACTCGATTGCGCATATCGTCAAGCTCTCGCTGGAGAGTAGCGAGAGTATTGAGATCCACAGCTGGCGCAGCCCTTCATGTGGTGGTTTTCTTTGACACCCCACCTCGGCCTCGGTGGGTCTTGGCAGGCCTCGGATGTGCAGGAGGCAAGGCTGATTCGGGTTGTGGACCGACCTCCGAGGTGGATCAACATCCTGAACTCCTCAAACCTATCCTCCACCACTTTGGCATCGATCTCGTGCTGGAGGTCGTTATTGCTGTTCAGACCTTGTCGATCTACTGAGTTGACATAACTTGTTGTTGAACGATCTCGAATGGGTTTATACTAAGGATGACTTGAGTTGTCTTTCCCACAGACGGCGCCAAATGTTTAAGCAAAGAATTGCACAACGTTAAACCTTGGTCAAGCTCGAACTCGGTCCTCGCTCCGACATGGAACTCAAAGGGAAGACCTGGACAAAAAGGCAAAAACTCTAACGCTCGAGTCAGTAAGTAGCTCGGACTCAATATTAAGTTCGAGGAGAAAATCTATACCTGATGGTGGGATGAGACCCTCTATTTATAGGTTTAGGTCCTGACAGAGGTTGCAACAAGCAGTTACCCCAGTCGGACTTAAAGTCGAACCTGTTGGGTTGAATAGATCGAACCCGGACAGTTCATCCCAGATATTGACGACTTAATAGAATAAATAATGGTCGAGGTATCCTCCTCGGAGGGTGCCGAGGTGGACCTGCATGATTCTTCATCTCTTTGGTGAATCCTTGACCTCCACGTGGCACCCTGGTTTCCTTCCCCAAACAAAACTAAAAGTTAGAAAACAAAATTCTAAACGCATAATCAATCAAACGAACGACCAAACATAACCTCAAACTTATGAATATGAGCTTGGATGTCTTTCAACTCAGTACGTGTCTAAAGCAACTCGTTGCATGTTTCTTGTAACTTTTTTTTCTGTTGTTTCAATGAGCATTCGTTGATTTTCAACAATATTATACAGGTTTTCATTCTCTTGAGCACAACCAGATACTTAAGAAAAACTTGGCTTACGTCCAAAACCAAGTCCTTTGATATAATTTTATTTCTTAACAAGTATGATTTCACATTTCTCTGCATTAGTGAGTTGTTGTTTGTGGTCTATAATATGAGCACCCAACATTTCTTCCATTTTATTATAAAAACAAAAATAAAAAATGTAGTAAAATATGATATAGTATTGCTCAAATAAGTGTATACAAAATATATATATACATATATATATATATCCATACTTACGAATTTCATTTCAGTATCCTCATTTATTCACCCTCTATCTGTAGAGTAATGTACTTGTTTAAATAATTCAATATGACTTATTTGGTTTTGCAATTTCATTTCTCTAACCATCAACCAAAAAAAAATCAGAGTATAAAGTTCTTACTAATTCCCTCGTCGTTGAAGATACGTCTTTGGACCTAAGCGATGATTATGGGGTAGTTTCTTTCTATTGTTTTGATTGGTAGCATACAATTTCTATAAGAAATAGAAAATATAAGGAATAAAATTTTTAATTTAAAAATTGCAAAATATCATTATCAAATTTTTACTTTCCTTTCAGGAGTCCCCATTTTGTACACATATTTTCTCATTCTTCTTGTGAAGCGACATATAGATGTTGATTTTGTCATGCGTTCCTAGGAGAGTCAAACTTCTTATAATAAGAATATAGCTTTGATCGATACTGCTTAAGTCTAAGACTCATTATAGATAATATGTACTCCCTTGTATGCTCCTATGTGATATCAAAATCAAAATAAACCTATACTCATGAAAAAAAAAATTACTTAAACTAAACTTCAAATAATTTATGTAATGAAAAATTTTACGTAATTACATGTCTTACCAATAAGCATCGATCACACTGTCTTTGAGTTTTATTGGCACATCATCCCAATGACTATATGTTGGAGATATGAATAGATGAACAATAGTTCTTGTCTCTTGATTCAAAGATTGTGAGTTTGCATATGAAGGTGCACCTTCATTTTTTGTCCGATGAAGTGTTATTCTACCATGAACTTTAACACATAATAACAAACATATCAATAAATGATTTGATGCCATGTATATATTCTCAACTTAACCCATCTAGATTTTGTATCCAATTTCTATCCAGGGTCTCTATCAATAAATACCAAAAAAATAAAAAATAAACAAAATCAATTACATCACTAATAAGGCCCTACCAAAGCAGTATACTTGTTTTAATAATTAAAACAGTGAAGAACACATCAATTTCTAACTAAAAATATATCTATCAAATGGAAATTTCATAGGATTTATATCTCAATGTCAAATAAATAATAGATAAATAATAGGAACAAAATTCTGCAAAACTTACCAGGAAATTTCTTCTTCCAACCAATGCTTCAAACCAAAGACTAGAAATAGTACACTAGCTTATTAAAAAAAACTTCACACATTTTATCTTTAACATGATCTTNTCGGCCCTCACACTTGGCATTTGTCGGCGTTGGTGGCGGCCATCTCGGCCTTCCGAGCTGAGCGTGATTCATGAGTTATCTTGGGACACCAAGGGGTCTTCCACGTGTCCCGAGTATACCCTTCCCCAAACATACTTTTTTTTCCTTCTTTTGTTTGAAAAAAAGAAGAGGTATAATTAATTTTTAAAAAGTGAATATTTGGAGGAAAAAAAGTCTCAAACCGCGGAATCGGCCCGGTCCGGTCCAAATAACAAACCGCTTCGTCGGCACGAAAACGGTTGCCAGCCTGAGAAAATTATTTTTTTTTTTGAAAAAAAGGGGACCAGGATAAGACCGCTGGTTTAGCCAAAAATCTTGTTCTGCTGCTCTCCCGCCTCTTGGATTTTGGAGTTCCCATTTCAGTTGCATCTTCTCTGCTCCACATTTTTGCTCAAGTATGCTTCTCTCTTCTTCCTCTCTATTCTAATTCGTTCTATTTCGACTTCATTTCTGTATGGTAACCTGTTTGGTTGCTGAGAAAATTGTGCTCAGAAGCGGAGAAGAATGAAGTGTTTTCGAATTTTTAGTTTCGTTATTCGAGCATTTTGTTTCCGAGCTACTGGATTAGTTTGACTTAGCTGCTTATTTGTTGATTATGTTGAACTTAAGGTTTTACCGAGACAGGGGAAGTTGCAGGAAGAATTTGAGTGGCAGTGCTATTTATTTTTCGCTTTCGTGTTCTTCGTGTCGAATGGAGCACATTTCTGCCGGGGTGAACTAAGTGTGTTTTTGAGGTTCCTATCATTAGTTTTTCGGAGCTTGGGTGTGTGGATTTGACGGGAATTTTCACAATCTAGTAACACATGCGACTATTGGAACCCTAATTCTATCCGGAATTTAGGGTTTTCTTCGTGCCGGGCAGATGGTTATTGAAGATGAAAAAAGCAATGGGGATTGCACGGGACATGCTTTGGAGGTCAAGTTTGTGAAGAGCGAGGCAGGAAAAAATGGAGTCGGCATGGGGGTTTTGAATGTTGTTACTGAAGGGGTTCCAGGAACTAGCGATGGTTTTCGAACTTACAAGAGGCGGAAGCACACTAAGTTGACTTCTGGAAGCGAGTGCAAGGGAGATGGCAAGACTCATGTTGAAGCTGCTGGTCAATTAATGGTCCGGGTTTCTCTCTCTCTTTCAATCTATTACAGTTGAAATTAATCATATGCACCTATTTCGTTGAACTCCAAATTAGCTTAATCTAATATTCATGTTGATTTAGTGTTGTTTGTTGATTTTATCTTGGCCACGTACTTGTATTTAAGAGTTAAGACTGTAAGTTCTACGAGATGTAATTGTAGTTAAATGTGAATCATGTTTAATTCATAAAACTATCAGGGCAAAGTTATAACTTGAAATTTGGAATTTGGATTCTACACATAAAACTTAACCTTTGAACAACGTATAAGATTTAAGGATGTACTTTTAAATGCAAATGTTCTCAACGTAAAAGGAGGGTTGAGAAAAGCTATTGATCTGCTGTCAAATTTTACTTTACCATACTACCCTGTATTAGTTGAAAAACTTGTAGTGAAACATGACCGAAGTTTTTATCAGATGGTAGGAGACTTAGAATCTAGAGTTTCTGCAACCTGATTTGGTGCAGTGGAATCCTTCAAGATTTATGACGTTCTTTTGCTTTAGGAATTTGGAAGAATCAATGGTTTTGATTGTTTTTGGGGTAAAGTGCATGTTCATAAATATATTAGGGAGTATATATGTAAATCCATGGAGGTCTTGACCTTAAGGCTTTGTAGGTATATGGTGGTTTTTTTTAATCCAATCCTTACTGTAATTTTGCCTTGTTAATGAAATTTGTTTTTTTTTCTTTCCATTGTCAATGATATTTATTTATTTTTTTAATAATCAAATTCTCCTTTCAGCAATAAATTACAGTTATGATTAGTTAACCATTGATTGTTTTATTTGTTTCTAATTGCAATTTACAAAGAGTTCTGGAACAAGGTTCTTAATGGATTGCTGTTCAGGAAAGTTTTTCAAATTCGTCAATGGGATTTGTTTGGCTGGCGGTGATCAGGGAGAAAATTTTATATAGGATTGTCCAATTTTGGCCCTCTTGGATATTAATATTATGATTAGAATCCAGTGGTGGAATGTTTTGGAGGTCAATTCAATGAAATTGAGTTTACTTGAGACTGGAAAAAGTTGTTTCCCGTTAGATTAGGGATGTCAAGATCATTGGGATTTTAAGTTTCATTTTTTTGCTTGCTTGATGATGGTGTTTGGTAATGTTATTCAAGTTTGTGCACTTTAAGGAGAACCCTGCAAGGGTTCCTCCAACTACCGGTGTTCCTTGTGTAGATATGCCTAAGAATGCATTCTCTTCCTCTGTCTGGAGCAAGTTCTTTCAATGCTTCGACAGTTATTGGGTACATTCCTTGCACTAGAAGGGAAAATTCTTTGGGATAATTTGAATCTTGGAATTTGTTTAGGATGGAATAAGAACATTTTTGAGATGGAGTTTGAATATGCTTGACTATGAAGCAGAAACTATATGAAATGGCATTTATAGATTGATACATTATTTTTTAAAAAATGAGGACATCGTTGAACTGAAGGACATAACAATGCAGTCTTTTTTTATGTATACATCTGTAAGCAGATTTATTACATGATTATCTATTTATTTATCTTTGACAGGGAACATTTCTTTCAATGAGATGATCTGTTTTCCCTTGTTGCACGATGCAATTCCTATACACTTCACTGTTATTATTCTCTCTCTCACTCTCTCTCTCATGCTCAATATGTCATGATCTTTAAAAGAATTAGGGATGTCTTTTTGCTGGTATTTGTGGTTTTGGACCCACTTTGTTATTCCATGGGACACAAAACTGTCCCCCGATACTAGCTTCGAAGATAACAAGAACTTCCATTTGTTTGTTTTCCACCTGGAGCTTGAACTAAATAACTTGGGAACCTTCCCCGAACATCCCAAATCCTTACTACAACAGCGATTCCTGGTGCCATGCCATTAAACAGTTTATTATGCCTTTTTTTTTTGGGGATCATAAGTTCAAGGACAAAAAGAAAGTTATTTGGCTTTGTGATATATCTGCTATCTTATCGGAAGTTCGGTTGAAGACAAATAGAATACGTTTCAAAGGTTTAGAGGAATCTTTGAATGAGGTTTTAGTTGCCATTTTTGACATATAGTTATCGTGATCATACAAATAAAGGAAGAACCATCTACTTTACATAGATTACTCATTTTCATGATGCAACTGATCAAAAATACAATTTTCTGTCATTGATAGATTAGATGCTGTGGTATATCGTGTGTGCTTGTTTTTTCTTCTCAATCTATTTTTCTTTTTTTTTGCAGACTGATGAGGAAACTTTTCACACGCTAAGAGGCAGTAACTCCTGCGATCATGTCCATTCTTCAATGGTCAATTTAGATGAGTGCCCAGAGGATATCTGGAGATCTGTTCTGTTACAGCAGATATGCCATTCATCAAGTGTTAATGGAGGCAATGTTGTACAGGATGGAATTCATTCAGGATTCAATGACCCCTCAAGAGTTAGGGCTAGCTCAAAACATCCTTTTCCTTCAGATAAACTTGTTCTGAAGTTTTCTTTCTTTCTTTTGGTTCAATTTTTAAATAACCCTTGTTCTCCTCCTGTAATTACTGTGCAGATATTTGATGCTCAAGATGGAAATAGGAATAATGACCTTGCCTGTACTGAATCAATGTCTAATACAGTTCAGATGGCATCTCATAGAGGGAACGGTGTTGTATCAAATGGATCATTAGAAAATTCAAACAGATGTAATATTAACGAGAGTTGCCGGCGAGCTTTCTTTAGTATTATAGATTCACAGAAGTTTGTCTCATTGTGTAAGCTTCTATCTGAAAATTTCAGAGGAATCAAGGCTGATAATGTTTTTGACTTTAGTCTTGTAAACTCGAGGATCAAAGAAGGGGCTTATGAAAATTCACCCATGCTCTTCCTCTCTGACGTACAACAGGCAATATTTGATTATCTTGTTTTCCTTTTTAGTTGTTACCTTTATTATACATTTTTGCTCAGTTTATTGTGAAGCTTATTATTAATAAAAAGTGCTCGTCTAATGAACTAAATATTTATCTTCCTGGAGAAATGAAATTTAACTGAATGTATTTAATAAATTTTTCATGTATAATGGCTGCTCCCCAGTCAATTTATTCTTCTCATTGTATTTTCATTGTTTATATTGAAAAAAAAGCTTGTAAAAAATTGATTGTTTCCTTATTTCATTTAACTCTACAGCATTCTCTTGGATTTCATTCTAGATTGTTTTTCCAAATCTACTATTTTCCATTTTTTCTGATTTCTAGATTGTGTTGGAATTGTGCTTTCAAACCACAGCTGTACTCCGTTACTTGTCTTGATTTGCAATTATATGACAGTTATTTTTTATTTTCTTCAGATATGGAGAAAGTTTCAAGCAATTGGTACTGAATTGGTATCACTGGCAGCAAGCCTCTCAGACTTCTCCAGAGCTGCCTATCGTGAAAAGGTGAAAACAAGTATCTTCAGCAGTTGAATAAGATGCTATAAGAATTGTTGATCATATGTTTTAATCATCTCTATTTGATTTTCCTTCAAAGAAAGCTATCTGGTTTTGTCTAAATCTATTGTGGTTACCAATAGTTTTTGCCTTCTATCTTGCTTTTTCTTACAATTTTCACTCTTTCAGGTTGGAGTTTCAGGACGCAATGTATTTGAAGATGGAAAGCATGAGGTAAAAGAGTTCATGTTACATTACATTGGGCACTATTGATTTGGAAAAATTGCATAAAAATTTATAAATTATATTTCTTTAGACGAATATTTGAGAAAAAAAGGAGGATTGAAGCACTAAGACACCACATAGTTCGGGTGTTGTTAACTAGTCTGTATCCAAAATTCATTTAGTTCTTAAACTTAAACTTAACCGAGTTCTTGTGTTCTAAAGCTCATTAGATGCTCTTAAACATCATAATGCTGCTAATTTGAGGCTCCATCATTAAGGGCTAGGAGGAACCCTTTTGTCTGTCACCAATGAAGGTGGTCGTTAACTATTTTGCAAGGGGAAGAGTGGAATGAAGGTGGCGGGAACTGGAAGGATGGAGTAGAGTTAGGGTTTATTCTTCAGCTGAGCCCCATTCTTCATCTTGGACGGTCTCCAACTTTCCTTGTAATCTTCTGCATCAGAAAATATTGAGTTTATTGTAGTTTCCTATGTGCTGTGTGGACTCGCATTCAGATTTTTTTTTTGAAATGAGAGCACTGGACATACTGGATACCCGTGAAGTTGGGATGGAGATATTTGGGATAACCAAGGTTTCATGTAATTATTGGTTGAGTTTTAATCTATGTGAACACCTAGTGAGAGGTGAATTCTCCTTGTCTTTGTTCATCCTTAATAGTCACAACTGCCATTGGCCACTTCCTTTAACTGTTTCACTATGTGACACCTTACTTGGATGTTGGGTTTGGGGGAGTAGATGGGTTCCATAGGACTACCTTTTGAATCATCAACCTCATCTATTCAGTGTTTTATGCATATAGGATTGTCTCATTCCCATCCATGTTAATTATGGCCATTTTTCAATCTGAAGCATCCTATTTATGTACAATATGTCTATCTTCCAAATTCTTAAAAAAATGGCAGTGATGTTAGAGAGAAAAATTAAGATTTTCATTTGGGAATGCTACAAGGAAGGGAGGTTAAGTCACTTAGTTAATTGGAATATAATTTCATTACCCTTCGGAGAGTGGTGGATTAGGCATTGAAACACAAGGATAAAATATTGGTTCAGTCTTTATCTCCTCGCCCTATGGGTCAATGTGATTAAATCCATAATCTTAGAATCTTGGTTTGAAAGGAAGCAATGGATATTTGAAAACAAGCGTAAATCTTGGGTGGAACGTTTTGACTTAGGTGTCTACGGAGCTTTACAATGGTGTTCTCTATCTAATTGTTTTACTTATTATTCCCCAAATTATATTTGTTTAAATCGAGAGGCTTTAATTGGTTCTTATTAGATTCTTGTTTTTTCCCTGCTTTGTTTTACTCCTCATGAGAGTTTCTCTCCAATGAACATTTTTGTATCTTATCATTTTATCAGTGAGAAGTTTGTATCTCGTTAAAAAAAGGCTTGGGAGATTTTGGAGAAAATCTAGTGAACCATGGAGTTAGATAATAGCGAGTGTATGAGGGAGGGAATATGGATGGTTAAGCCTCATTAATGGCCAGTGGTTCAAAGGTCAACCTAAGTGGCTAAGCCTAGCCTAGTTCATACTTTGGAAGGTCGGCTTGGCCCGTTTTGTTCATACATACTTTGGATTGGATGTGAGTCATCTCTTTTAAAGTTGGGGCCATCTTGTTTGGGCCATGTTTGGACTATTTTGTTGGGTCAACCCTTTAGGCTAGGCTTTTAGCTTTCGGCTCTTCTAGCTTTGGATCCAATTCAATTAAATAATTAAATATGTGGGAAATATTTTTTTTTATTATTTTGAAAATTAGTTTGTAAGCCCTGCGGGTGGCAATGGGATAATATTAATGAAATAGATTTAGTAATTTAAACTTTATTTTCTATTTGAAAACAAGAAAGGGAGAAATTACCTTTTTATCCTTGAGTCATCACTTATAGTTATAGGTCACTTTGGTCCTTGAGTTTTTAAAAGCTACCCTTTAACCAAGTTTTGAGAACTAGGTTTAAAAGGTCCTTGGACGAGCATAATTGTTAGTTTCCAAATGAGAAGGTGACTATGGTTTATAATATGCTGATGTGGCAAGCTGAATTGATAAAAAAAAATCACTTATGTGGCATGTTAAAAGACAAAATGGCTCACCAAAAGGAAGAAATGTGGGAGCACTTGGAGCCCATGGGAGGACTAGTGGTGGGTGGGTGATAAACCTCTTTTGCCCCATCCATACCACCTTTCTAATGTGAGGTTGCATTTGTTGGCCTCTATTTTGGCACTAATGGAGAGTTGGTTCTCTATTTCTTTGGGTCCCAGTTGTCCTTTGATGAATAGGGAGACTCTGGAGGTTTTTGCCTTGCTTCTTTGGTAAGGGATCTTCCTTTTTGTCGGGGGAGGAAAGATTCCAGGGTCTGGCGCCTAGCTTTGCCAAAGGGTTTTCCAGTAGCTCTTTTTTTTTTTTCACCCGCTGAGTTCTCCTTTGCTCCCCCATTTTGCCTCGTTTTCTAGTAGGAGAAGTCAACACCTTGGATTGTATTCATAGTGTTCTGCCCTTTCTCTTCTTCGATGATGGAATATTGGTGGGGCTAAATCAATGTCTTTCTGCTGGCTTCGGGACTTTCCCTAAATGCCTCCGAAACAGCGGTGATTGAGATAAATTGCAGCCCTTCGAAGGTTGCTTTGTGGGCTCCCCCTTTTGGTTGTAAGGTGGAGAACTTCCCTTTTTCTTATTTGGGCTTCCCCCTTGGTGGCAATCATCGGCTTTATAGTTTTTGGGATCCTTTGATAGAAAAGATGCGCAAAAGACTCCATAAATGACCTACCTTGATGCTCTCCCAGGGAGGTAGACTCACATTGGCTCAGGCGGTATTAAATAATATTCCCTTATATTATTTTTCGCTCCTCAAAACTCTGGCAATAGTGATAAAGGAGATAGAAAAGTTGATGCGAGACTTTATCTGAAATGGAGATACTTATCGTTCGACAGGGAACTTAGTCAGATGGTTTTGGACTGTGCTACCCTACAATCGAGAGGGATGGGGGTTGGCTCCCTTCTTCAAAGGAACAAGGCCCTACTCATGAAACGGTTATGGCATTTTGATCTTGAATAGTCAAGACTTTGGAGAAAGGTCATTGCTACTATCTATAGGGTATAATCTTTTGGATGGATGATGAGAACCTCGAAGGTCTCATCGATTGGAAGACCGTGGATTGACATCGATGACACTAGAAAAGAGTTTCTCAATTTTGTGATGTTCAAGGTTTATAATTGGAACCAAGTTCGGTTTTGGGAGGATGTTTGGGCAGATTCATCGTCTCTTGCCACCTCTTTTCCAGATTTTTTTTCCTTTTCATCAAAGAAGGGCCTTTCGATAGCAGAATTTTGGGACACCGAGGCTTCTACCTGGAACCTTGGCTTATGTAGAAATCTTTTCGACAAAGAGCTGAACAGTTGGGTTTCCTTCACAGAAAATGTGGAAGGGGTGATGTTAGGGCAAGGTCGAGACAGATTATGGTGGAAAATTGACAAGAGTGGAGTCTTTTCGATCGAGTCGGCATTCTTGGCCCTTACATCTCCTTCACATAGGCTGGAGTCTTCATCCTTCAACCAAATTTGGCACTTCAAGGTTCCAAAAAAAGCTTCCCCATTTAGCTCCTTCTCCTTCCTTTTGTTGTATGTGTATGAATGGTGCAGAATCTTTGAACCATCTTTTCGTTCATTGCTCATTAGCATCTAAGGTTTGGTCTTTTACCTCTTCACGTTTGGAGTTGTCCTTTTGTCTCCATAGGAGAATTGATGATTTTATTTTAGAAGGTTTTGGTGGTATTTCTCTCAAAGGTAAAGCTTTTGTCCTTTGGAATTGTGTGGCTCGGACTGTTCTTTGGTTCATTTGGAAAGAACGGAATAGTAGGCTTTTTGAGGATAAATTGTCCTATGTGGATTCTTTTTGTATGACTTTACTGCATATAGTTTCTTGGTGGGTGTCAAATCACAAGAATTTCTTTTGTAATTACAATTTACATATGATAGCAAATGATTGGAAAATTGTGATTGTATAGTTCTAGGGGAGGGTTTTCTTTTCTCAACCCTCTGCCTTTAGGTTGTTCTCTTTTGGCCTCTTTGGCTTTTTGAATATATTGTCACTGTTTCTTATAAAAAAAAAAAATAGTGCTCTTCCCCACTATATTTCCAAAATTTCCACAATTGAAATTGTTTGGAATGCAAGGGGCGTTAGCAATGGCCCCACGCGTAGGCGTCTCGACGATATTGCTCGGACAGGGCTTTAGTCTATGGTTGTCATCCTGGAACCCATGGTTAAAAGGGCCAACTATGTATCAAAATGGAAGTGGAGATTGCGTATGGATGGATGAATGTCGAACATCTMGCTCGGATGAATCCCCTGCCAATATCTTGGTCTTTTGGAGAGAGGATATCCTTGACCTGTCCATGATTGAAGTCAATGCCCAATTCATTTCTACCAATGGAAAGATCAAATCTTAAAATACTCAAGGTGCTCTCCTGGATCCTCAGTGGCACGTGCTTTACATATATTTTCCCCACTAGAAAGTTTGAAAATCCTAGGAAATCTTTAGGATGGTGGCTGATACCCGCCCAAATATTATTCTAAAATAAGAGAATTTCCATGGCCTATCCTGATCGTAGAAAACTTTTCAATCATGTCTTCAAACTTCATGATGTTCTACTAAGAACTTCTTGAAAACCTATTTCTTTGAATCAAAGTCATGGGACATGATTCTCGGTATTTTGTTTGTTTTTTTTGGAAACTGAGGGACCAAACAGCCATGCCAAGCATTGTGGAAGCAATCCCATCTTGAGTTCGACTTGATATCCCACTCTCTTTCCTCGCTTGATGGTGGGGCAATGGCACATACATCCAATCGGATGAGAGGGACAAGGTGGCAGTGGTAACTAGCTTGTGCAACATATTAGTCAATGGGCTGCACACTTGTGGTGCCTTAGGCATCAACTTGAACGTTCACTTTTGCTTATCCTACAACATCCTTGGCCACACTCACAGCTTGAACGTTCGCATTGCAACACATCACTTTTGCTTATCCTACTACATCCTTCGCCACACTCGCATGCTCTGGGGGCAATGCGACTACTTGGAGTCTTGGACCTTGGGTGCTTGCTTGAAGGTGGCAACCAGCACCCTGTTATCCTGTGCCCAATGAGGCTCATTCATGGGAGGAGGCTTTGTGGATGTCATTTTGAGTAGATAAGGTGCAAAATTTCTTGCTTGGTTCACAAAAGTTGGTAACCTTAGAGGAAGCTTGTGGCCTGAAATCATGAAGAAAACAGGATTGTTTCTAAGCAATATTTCTTTCAAAGTAGGCATGGGACAAAATATGTGTGGTTGGAGGCATATTTCTTGTGTGCTATTGTCCCTAATATTTATGCTATTTCTAACACTTAGGGTCCTTAATTAAGGAGACATGGAAGGAGGAATGTGCAGGCCTACTACTAACACTCTTCTAGTGGAACCTCTCCGGAAGTACTTCATGGGGAATAGACTAGCGCTTGCAATGCTAGCATGTCATATTAATAAGGGTTTTTGACTGAGTGGTTGATGAATGCCTTCATTTTTCCTTTAAAATGTGATCCTACTAGGGTGGGCTTTGAGAAGAATATAATGGTTTGGAACATTGAGAGGAACGACTATTTTTCTTGCAAATAAGCATTTTCCGACATAATTTTAGTGAAGTTATATTCATCTGATGAACATAATATTTTCCAGACTATTTATCTTGCAAAATATTATGTAACTAAGGGATTTCTATAATTATGATAGATGGCCTTAAAAAAATTTACCTTCAAAATTTAGGCAACATGAAAATTTCTTTTCCCCAAGAGGCATTTCCAACCAATAATTTACAATATTAAGGACAAGACAACTGTGAATGTCAGCAGTATATCATGATCGGATATCAACTTCTTGACAATTAGGAATGCTTCTAAACTTTGTCCTAGTTATGATCTCATATTGTGGGTTGAAAGTGCACTCATTTGTTTAAAGGGTTTGTAACATCTTCAAAGCTAATTTACTAATTATATTCTTATGAATTCATCTGTACAGAGTTGGATTTTTAAAATGATTTGTTATGTTTGCTAACATGAAATTTTTTTGTCCATTTAGTTCTCAACTTGGGAATCACCCTCTCATGCTAAAGCAGAGCATATGGATGGTAATGGTACGTATAAAGTTTGTACGTGCAGAAGCTGTGGAGAGAAAGCAGAAGGGATTGATTGTCTGGTTTGTGATTCATGCGAGGAAATTTACCATATATCCTGCATCAAACCTCCCGTCAAAGAGATTCCCCTTAAGAGTTGGTACTGTGCTAGTTGCATTGCAAGTGGATTTTGTTCACGTCATGACAACTGTGTAGTGTGTGAGAGGTTGAATACGCCCACAACGCTAGCCAATGGAGTTGGTGAAATTCTAAATACAAGTGAACAAAATCACGATCACAGGGATGAGGATCCAAACTGTTGTATAGATGACGGAATTGAACAACTAAAGGAGAGTAAAGATTTGGGCCCTTGCAAAATTTGTGGAAATGAAGTAGAAAGTGGCGATAAGTTTAGAATATGTAGCCACCTCTTTTGCCCTCATAAATGTTACCATACTTGGTGCTTGACAAAGAAGCAGTTAAAGTCTTACGATACATGCTGGTACTGTCCTTCTTGTCTTTGTAGAGCCTGCCTCATAAATCAAGACGACGACAAGATTGTTTTATGCGACGGCTGCGATCACGGATACCACATTTATTGTATGAGACCACCACTTGCTGCAATTCCGAAAGGAAAATGGTTTTGTGACAAATGCGAAGCTGGAATCCAGGCAATACGCAGGGTAAAAAAGGCATATGAGAATTTTGAAAACAAGCAAAATAAGAGAGGTAAAGATACATTTGGGGGTTATGGAACTTCGGGCAAGAAACGGGTCAATAGTGGCGATGAGGAATCGGAAAAAGGAATGGGGGGAATGGATATGCTTCTTACTGCAGCCAAGACTCTAAATTATGAAGAGGGTCTGGCTAACATTTGATATAAATAGTTAATTAGAGGGAAGGCCTGAAGCAGGATGGATTCCCCGTGACTGATTACACATTTTATTTCTGTTAGAATTTTGTTTTATTATGTTCTTGGATGGAAATTTCATTAGGTTTTGGACATTTAGGTATGCTGACTTTTTGGAGAATTGTAACTTGTAATGATGTCTGTAGGCAGGCTGTGTAAAAGAAAACATGACACATCTTAAAACGAGGAGTCTGAGTAACCAGGATGCTGTTGGATTAAAGAAGATCCAGGTGAGAATCAACCTTTTAATGTTTTACTCATTTTGTACCATGAAGTATATAATCTCCAGGGATTGTGAGAATTCCGATGTTTCGGTTCTGTTGTAAAATCCATTTAACACATTTGACAATCAAAGGAAATGATGCCTTTTTGTACGTATTCTTAGGCATTCTTTATTTCTATAATTGGCACTTGATATTTATTTATTGTTACTATCTTTTTGTAATCTATGTTATGTTTTGGGATTTTGTCTGTCTGTTGAATTCTTTGTTTCTTTCTTGTTCAACCCAAATTTCCTTATGCACGTCTTAATTTACAGGAATGTTTTACATATATATATATTTCTTAAATTAACTGTGGCACAGATCGGATCCTGCTATGTTCAGGAAAAAAGCACATATGATTATTTAACTGGAAAGCAGGTTTTTCAAAGTTATCACTGGCAAGATCAGCGAACTGTCCATTTAGCTGAAAGTGAAGGAAAAATGAACAGAAACGGTGAGGTAAAATGTTCCTACTTGATTTAGTTAGCCTTAGCATTGCATCGATGAATGCGAGGGAAAGGCTAACTTTAAATCACAATCTTAATTTTCATGAAATAGATTTTGGTAATACTGGCCCAATCAAGGTTCAAGCAACTCTTGATGAATGACCATACTGCCTACAAAGTTAGTGTAGGAGATGGAAGGCTTGGAAAGCCTCTTCTCGTACTTTTTAGTCTTCTCTCAAATTTCAATGGATGAGGAAACATGGAACAGTGGGTGGATTTTGATATCAGGGGACGATCTAGAAGCAGTGTTTCCTACTAGCTTGATGACTGGAAATGGGCTATAGTAAGGCAAAATAAACACCTCACTTTTGTTTAGAATTTATGGAATGTTGTCTAGTTTTAGGAAGGCTAGGTCATCATATGAAACTGCACTCCCACTCGATTAGATTACAAGTTTGGTCCCTCAAGTTTATGTGTTAGTATCTAATAGGTAAACTTTGAAAAGTACTAGTAAGTTTCTAAACTTTCAATTTTATGTCTAAGTAATTTAAAATTCATGGACTCATTGATGGGTATATGACCTTTCAATTATGTGTCTTTTATGTCATTTAATTGCCACCTATTAGACATAAAATTGAAAGTTCAATGCTTACTAAAAAAGTTTCAAAGTTCTAAAGTTCATTGAAAGTTTAGGGATTTATTAGACAACTTGAAATTTTAGGAACTAAATTTGAAAATTATCCTATTATGTTGTAAATGATCAAAATACAAGGCACTTGTGGAATTGGAATTGCATTGAGGGGTAGGGAATTGCTTACACCTTCCGACTCTTATTTGGTTTCATTTCAATATTTTTTTAATGCAAAAGAGGGAAGTAAGTTTCAAAGCTACTATTCACCACTGTAGGTAGCTCGTCCCCATGTCATCATCTTTCGATGGCTTAGTCTTTTGGAGTGACTAATTTGCAAATAGAAGTTGCTCCATCGCCTTCAATTGGAGGAACGTAAAGGGGTTGATCCCTTGAAGGTCGGGAGTGAGGATGAGGCAGTATGTCACATGTTTATTGCAGTTCAAAATGCTAGTTGTGAAACATCAATTGGAAATAGCAAAAGATAGGATCGAGTGAGTCACAATCGAACTTGATAGATGCAAAATGACTACTTGGACTCCTTTTATGTGTTCCAATTCTCAAGTTAGTTATGAATTGACTACTCATCATAAATGGATTGGTCTTAGGTTACTACTGTCATCCGATCTAATAAATTATGAGGATTAGTTTCAATAGTATATTATGTATTGTCTTGTTAGGTGTTAATTTTATGATGAAGCTAGTAACGAAATTTGTCGAGCCAATCAAGTAAATGGAGGCAATGACATGCCACCATGTGTTGAGCTGAACATGGTTGACCATGACTTGCCTAACTGATCCATATCCATGTCAGGCCAATGAGTTAACATTGACACATTGGCATCATTAGAGGAGTGGTTTTTCAATTATGCGTTACTTTTTCTCTTCTTTGAGCCCAGCAAAGTAGCAACTAACAAGGCTTTAACTCGATGTTTTCTTACATAACTCAGATAATTAGGTAAAACAAATCAGTCACATTGAAATGATCTTTAAAACAATCATGTTCAAATTAAAATAACGGTAAAAAAATCTCTTTAATTTCATGGTGAATTATTTATGCAGAGCCAAAAAACAATTAAATTTTTTTTTTCAGAGCAATATCGAAAAAAATTATTATGAGTGCCTACTTAGTTCTCAAGTATTAATTAAAAATTTAAAAATAATTGACCAAAATTACCTAACCAGTAGTTCTTAAATAATCGTTCACAGGATTGGTAGCAAGATTAGGCACCATCGTAATTTCAAAAGTTGAATATAAAATTTTAAATTTAAAAGATATTACAAAATCCATGTACAAGAATGAAATTACAACTAAAAAATCAACTTATAGAACAACTCATACACATACATCTTTTTCAACAAAAAAAAATTTAAAACTTTTCTTTGATTGTATTGTGCATATCAAGTTCAACATCAGGTAAGTCAATCGAAGTTTCCAACCGCCCCTTAGTTACAAAATTTACAAATCACAAAATGATTTCATTGAACACAGCCCCATACAGTCAAAACTAACTCATCATTTGGGATTCCTGAGAACTATAATAACAGAGTCTCCTCTCAAGAACATCTTGCTGATGAATCTGTCTTTGTTTATAGGCTGTGCTTTATTCTTCCCTTTTCCACTTTTAGGGGCCTAACCCATTGAAGATAAAAAGGCACATCACAAGATGCTTCTAAGAAACCAAGGGGTTGAAATATTATGACAAACTTTAGAATGCATACCTCAGTCCACATTTCTCTGACATTTTCCAAAACAATGTTACAGTGGCGAAGGCTCTCACTCGTCCCAAAAGCTTTTTATTGTTTCGACAGTTGATAAGAACCTATGCAATTGATGAAAAACTTAAAAAGCTTTTGGGCCTTAAGCTAAAAACCTATTCACTAATAAGAAGCCTGTAATTCACAAGCTTTTCCCACTTTGTGAAACAGAAATCTTACCTGAGTGTTGTTTTTTACACTCATCATGAGAACAGAAAGTGGACCAGTGTTGAATTCCTCTTCCTCGTTCTTGCTAGACTGCCATAACTTTCATTAGTACTTAGACGGGGCACAAATAAGGGGGGCCAATTGCACTTCTACACCTCCTTTGGTTTGTCTTTGATTAAAGAAAATATATAAAAAGTAGGTATTTCAAAATTTTTTCCCTAATACGTAGCCTAAATTTATGATAACAAATTAGAATGTAAAATTTTGCCCCAAGAAAAAATTTCTGGATTCAAGGGAAAGCACTGGGATATATCAAAGGATTTCCAACATGATCCTAAAACGAAAAAAAAAATGACACAATTTTGCTTCATCACTTCCAAGGGAAATAGAATTATCCCAACCAACCCAAAAAGGAATATGTAAGTTTGGATGTAAATCACAAGTAAAAACATAACAAGGCTTTGTAATTAGTAGTAAACTTCTAAACTGTCAAGTTAAAAAACAAAGCTACGTGCTAGAACAGAAGTGATATTCCAATTAGTAAACGGACAAAAGTGCTAAATGCATAAAAGAGTTAAACAACTTACTTCCTCTTCCATTGGTTGGCTGCAACAAAAAGGGGAGAAGAATAACAAAGCTGTTAGAAAGTGAGAATGCACAAAAAGAAGATACAGAGTAGATTAGGTAGATAGGTGAAAGCCAATACCTCATCTCGCATATAAGGAAGTACTTATCTGATGCTCTTCTAGTAGTAAACCTGGCAACCTGCTACAGACATTAGAAAGGCATTAATCACTAATACTTAGCATTAAAAGCAAAGACAGAAGCCAACCTTAAGTTATGCATGATAAAATGTAGAGATCTAAGGAAATTGACAAGTATTGTTGCAACCAAAGTGGCACTTCAAGTTCTAAAAATTCAGAGTACAATCAATAAAACTCTAGACACCTGGACATAGAAAAACATGCACAATTTTCAAAATGTTATACTTCAACAGATATGAATACTGTTAAAATAAATAACTCTGAACTGAATAAAAGACACTTTTATTCTCATCCATGTTATCCTCATTTTAAACACACTTTTCCTAAATAAAGTGTTGCAAAAATCATCAGCTTTGAACAAACATATCACTGTTAACAATTTCATACATGACATTGAGTTTTATAATTTGAAACCAAGTCAATTTATATCCTTTTATGGTTTAGCTTCTACAAGCCTTTAAAATATAGCAATACAAATGTGGGGGGGAGGCTCAAAACCTTCAACCTCAACAAATGCTCTAGGCAGCTATGCGCATGTAGGCTCTGCAGGATGGTATTATTTTATAAATCGTCTTAGTATAATGAATAAATATTTCTTGGTCATGATAAAGAGTTATTATATTTCGAATAATAATTTCCAAAATTCATTTTCTTTTACCATGTAAAGTGTATTTCACACATCCTTCTTCCCATGGGATTTCAATCTTTTATTAATCCTCTTAGTTTCTTCAATAGATATTCCTCGTCAAGATAAGGAGTTATTATCTTTGAATAATTTCCAATAGTCCTCGTCTTCATTTTGCAAGTAAAATGCATTTCACACATAATTCCCATGCCCCATCTGATCTAAAGATGTGTCCTGAGTGTGACTCTTATGTGTCCATAACATGACCAAGACAATTTCATGTACAATATAAAATTAAGAAAGCCAGAAGCGAAAAGCACTTCAATTGGCATAAACAATACTTAAGCAAACTAAGAACATTGATAGAACAATTTTGGGAACATTTCATTCATTCCATGAAATTATGATAGCCAGTACTACAAAGATTTAGAAGTCCAAGAGAATAATTAACGGATAGAGATGAAAAGATTCTTCATGAGTTGACATGAAAAGAATCTTAACCCTTCAGTTCAGGTCTCCAATGATTTGTCAGCATTGATAGCCTCAGGAGAACGAAAGTTTCAATAATGGTCATCCTTAGGGTCAAGAAGATTTAGCATGTCCACTCCCAATCATGCAAAATTAACAAAGAGATAGCATTAATTAAAATGCACACTTCACAAAGTCAACATAAAAATGGGCATTGTGCCCAATTGAAGATTATGAAAACTGTAGGAATTTTGCAGAGAACATATCAAAACGAGTTAGAAAGAGAAACTCAGATCCCAGATAGTCGAATTAAAAAACCAAGGCAACCAAAAATTTTTCTTGAGAAGAAACAAGAAAGGAAGAAAAATAACTGCAATAAAGCCTCTTCAGTTCAGGTCTCCAATTTTTTTCCGCATGGGGAATCTCGGAAGAACGAAAGTTAATTTTTTTGATCATCCTAAGAGGCAACCAAGAACGCAGCAAAATCGAAAGACACATTGAAACCCAAAACTCATCAACAAAACCGATGAACGATGAAAAATAATTAACCACAAAATCAGTTTCTTGGATTACAAAAACAAAATGAAGAACATAAGACGTTGACAAATCTAATTACACCTCAATCGTACAGCGAATCGAAGTGGGAAGAACTAGAAATTACGGAAAACAAAAACTGTACCAAATTAGAAGAAACTTCAGATCTGAGCGTTTCTTTTTCACTTTGAAGAATTTGATGAGCGGCAATTACCTGGAATTTATAGAGGCAAAGCGGCAAAAGGGGGAACTTCAAAAACCCTAGCAATGGAATCGAGTTAGGGTTTATTGCGGAAGGCCAGACGATCACTTTTAGGGATCTTAATGGGCTTCTCTCTCGAAATTGGCACAAAACAGTTATGGATCTTCAAATTTGGGCCGAAAAGTTTATTCAAAATGATAATCTTTTCTTAAATATTCATGAATATGTATTTATTCATTAAAAACTTGTAACCATTTCCTTTTTTTTATTTTTGGTTTTTGATTTTTGATTTTTGAAAATAGATTGTTCGGTAACTAATTCAATTTTCTGTTTTTTATTTTTCAAAAATCATTTTGAAATTATATGCAAATAAATAAATAAATGAGTAATTTTCAAAAAGTTTAAATCTCATTTCTTCTCTTAATATTCAACTTTTCTTTTTCTTTCTCGTATTTATCTCTAAAAAAATTATTTTCCATTCTAATTTTTTTTATTTCTAAATTTCTCTCTCTAAAAATTTCATATTTTGAATATTTTATTGTTATTTGTCTCTCTCCAAAATTTTCTCTACTTTTGGTTTTTTTTTTTCTAACAAACCAGTTTTATTTATCTTTCTAAAAACTTAATATTTTTCCTAATTTTTTTTTCGAAAATTTCATATTTTATAACTTTTTTGTCTCTTAATTATCTATTTTTTCTTCTAAAAATTATATTTTATTTTCTCGTTCAATTTTCTTTTACTGTAACTTTTGTTTATCTTTGTATTTATTTATTTTATATAAAAATTATATTTTGAATCTTATTTTTATCTATAAATTCGTTTCCACTATAATTTTTCTCTTTCTTTATATTTTTTTTTCTTTAACATATTCTTTCCTCTCGACTTTATTTTTTCTCCAAAATTTTTATTTTTTGTCTTTAACTTTTCTTTCACTATTTTTTTTCTAAATATGTTTATTATCTCTGTAAAATTTATCTTGCAAAATTTTATTTACCTATCTATTTTCATGTCTCTACGAAGACAAAAATTTCCGCAGGGTCGGGTCCCAAAATAGAAAATGCATGTCCCAACCCCGTCCCCGTCCCCAATTCCATTTTTCAAATAATTAATATATATTTATTACACTTTTTTTATATTTAAATTCTAAAAATAATTAAAAACAATTATAAAACCGATAATTTTTCTCGAGAACATCTCTCGGACCCAAGAACTAGATGGAGACGGAGACTAAAAATTTTCACGAGCCCGAGAATGGGGGAGAGCATCCTCATTCGCAACCACACCATCTCTACTCTACATAAAATTTTCTCTCTCTAATATATATTTTCAATTTTCTAACTTTTTAAAAACAAAAAACAAAAATGGTTATCAAAAGTTTTGTTTTTAAAAAATAGAAAACCAAAAACCAAAAACTAAAATATTATCAAACGGGCCCGTCGGCCTTAGTTGGATATGATCCATATTTATCTCATTAAAGAAAGAAATAAGAAAGAGGATATGATCCATACTTTATTGTGTTTATCATGATTTTTTACGTAATCAAGCACCAATAACCTATAGAATTAGTGGATATAGTCAATCATTTGATTAAGTATGAGTATAATTTGTATGATACATTCCGTCGTTAGTTATGTTTATAACTATTATAATTATATGAATTAAGTTTTGTAGATGGTTAAAATTATGCCCGAGTTGAAAAATAAGAGAAGATAGCTCAAGGATTTGGATATTAGTGTGGTATTAGTTAAATAAGCTTTGATAGTCAAGTTAGAATACTCATATTGTATAAAGAGCAAGTGAATGTTAAAAATTCAGAAGATTCATTAGCATAGGTATGAAGGTGGTCTTTATTAGAATTGGACAACTAATTAATTATGACTAATGAAGTATTTTGGTGCAGCTATAAAACGAAGGAATTAGTAATTTTTATATGTTTCTCGACACCAAATGTTATAGGGTCAGACAGTTACTCCGTGAGACTAATCGAGGTGAGTGTAAGCTGGTCCGAATACCAAAATAAATAAAAATAAAAAGGAAGGAAGAAAAAATTAGCACAAACGAAAAAAGAAGAGAGGAACTCTTGGAACGTGAGAAAAATACAAGTGCAGACCCTTTGAGAGAACTTTAATTCTCATTCACTTGCCTACTACGTGATGGCAAATATTATATTTTATAAGCTAGAGATCTTTCAAGCTTCTAGGTTCTTGAAATCTTGAATATCCTAGGATATTTCTTTGGAAATCTAACCCTATCTAAAGGAATTCAAAACTCCTTAAGCTTAAGGAATATTATTTAAGACTAAAATATTTTTTAATCTTTTAGATATCCATTTACAACTTTTGAGATGTTTGTAAAAAGAATTCATATAGGGTAAATATTTGAGATATGTATTATAAACTTCAAGAAACTAGTCAGCGTTGCATTTTATTTTATAAAGGCATACTTCGACTTTTTTTTTTTTTTTTGACATGTATAAAGCCATACTTCTACTTAATTATCTGCTTGAGTGATGTGTCATATTTTGATTGAATAAATGATAAAAGATTTTGATAAAAAAAATGTGTTACCAACTAATTTGACATATTAAATGAATCTTCCAGGAGAAATAACTAGCTAAGATTTTGATTTTTAAAATCATACTTGCTTTCTCACCATTTATCTGGCATTCATCACATTTCTTAAAAATTAACTTTAAAAAACATAACTAATTTTTTAAAAACTAATTTTTATAGTTTTCAAATTTTGACTTAAAACTTTAAAAATATATAAAAGGGTAGATAACAAAACAAAGTATATAATTTATTTCATTCTTTCATGTGCTTTCTAGAATCGATTATAGATTAAATCTTAACGTTTTAAAAAATCAAATAGGCACAAAATTATAATTTAGCCTAATTGTTTTTCATTGAACACTCATAATACTTCAAATAATTATGAACTTCATGCAGAAGTCCACAAAAGCTATCTTTTAAGAGCATAAAAAAGAAGTGGACCTGTATAAAAATTTTATTCTAAAGACATCCAATCATAAAACTTGAATTTTTACAGAATTTATCCCTAGTAATACTAATGGGTCAAAAACAGAATATTGGAAAATCTCTTCTAGGATTGTTTCTTATTCACTGATAAATTTCTTGTGAGAAACATATTAGATTGCAACTCATGATTGCCATCTCCCTAAGCCACAACCTCTATGTGATGTAGTAAATAACAAAATTTGATGCCAAAGTTCGTTTTTCTTTGTATGCACATTCTGCATTCTGATGCCAAAAAATATAACGATACCTCGACAAACCTGTGGCAAAGGCTTTCGAGGTTGCCACTTCGACCTACGCCACGAGTAAGGTGAGCCAATCTTTACGCGTCACATCGTGTGGTTTCCGCATGTCGTGATCGACCACCTAAAGCAGCAGCAACTAAATTTGAGTAATGGGTGTGAGGTTAATACCGTTCATTCTTCTGATTAGTCATTATGTAGATGGTGCTTCCTCTTTTGGCATCGGTTGATATACCAAGTTGAATACTTCTGGAGGCTTATGCCAACCAACGTCTTGAGGCTTATGAGCATGACATAGGTCACGCCGAAGAGGAGAGGAACCAGAAGAAACCTCCATCGGAGTGGATCGTAAGGAAGAAGGGCAGCGTATACTGGAGTCAGCACTCGTATGACCTACACCGAATGTAACATTACTTTATGCATCCAAACTTTTCAACTTAAACTACCAAAAGTGATCATGATCCGTGAGAAAAGATCCATGAGAGTCTTTTTGCATAAATGTTCCTAAATCTTTGGTTCACACATGAGAAAGAAAAATAATTGCCCACACCGGTAAGTAGGGGCCTCCTATTAACTTTCTAATATGGTACATTCTTAGTGGTTTAAAAATGTAAGTGAGACCCCACTTATCTACTAGATGTAGTAATGGAGTTTAAAAGAAGTACTATATTAGAAATCCTAGCGTGTACACAAGTATTGTGCATGAAAAACTGCAACATTCCATACCGTCTATCTTCTATAAAGAAGTTGATAAAGTGGCAAAAGCAATTTAGCTCTAAAGAATTAACATTCTTATGACGTGGCAAGACACTCCAGGGGACAGAATTTACGGTTCATAGAAGGATATTTCCTACTTCGATTTGTTGAAGGTATAAAACAAGTATCTTACCACACAAGCTGGCGCAACGGGAACAAATGTCAAGTTTTTCTTTGCATCTTCACCTTGCATATTTAGAGCCTAAGGATGGATGTAATAACAATTTAAAAAAAGTTACATTATGTATTTATGACGTAAAGTGATGTATTGACAAATTAAGAAGAAGAGGCATAATTGAGAAAATTACGAACCTGTTTGCAAAGGTCTTCAAGAAACTCTGAATATGCAATAGGCTTTATGTCGTTGAATTTAGCTAAGAATGAGTGCTTTATGATATCAATGAGCATTTCACAAATGAAAACCAAGAGAGCGTTCTGCAGCCACCCGACAAAAATTATTAGAAATATAATTCCTACTCATCAATTTCAATAATAAAATGTTTTCAAGTAAAGCTGTGTCAGAACTTACATAGAGAAAACTCCCAAACCAGGGACCCTCCGCCTCCAAAATATTTTGAGCCAAAACAAACAAGAGAAACGCCAAAATATGGAATCTTTCGATTGAATCTATCGAAATTAATAACATCAATAATTATAAGATCTAAACAATGCTTTAATCACACAGGATGAGATAGAGAACACTAATGACCAAGCAAGATTATTCGATATCTAAACGAACTTTAGGGTATGGAGAGGACAAGAAAACACCAGCACATCACTCCCTATCGCAAAATCTTATTAGATAAGATTCCACGCACACGGATAATATGCATCTAATATAAACTTTAGATAAGAGATTTGGTATCTTCAGCATACAAATGAACTCTAATCAATCAAAGTAATCTTAAAATTTAACAGAATGCCATCAGATAAGATTCGAAAGCAGTAGTAGTAGTAGTACAATAGAATCATAATATTTTACTCCTAAATACAACTTGATTTATTAATACGGGAGTAGCATGGCATTTTTGCCTTCTAAGTTTCCTAACAATAGTATCTGAAAATTGAAAAATAAAAGAATTACAGTAAAAGCATGCATAAGACTCCTAATTGTAATCATGCAATAAAAAAGGCTGACGTACCAAAGTAAACCAGTCTGTGAATATTGTCTTTGCTATAACGCTTAAACACATTGCTTTTAATCTCTGCAAAGTTATTAGACACCAGCAAAGCAAGCAAGGCGTTGTTATGTGCCACTATACAGGTTGATAAGGTGATTGCCTGAGCTAATAAGATAAAAGAATGAACAAGTATGAACAGTCAAGGAGCCAAAGGAGCATCAAAATATCTATAACTATGAGAAAGATTCTAGAACTCAAGGATAAGGATATTTGAGGCAGTAACGGCTAAAACTTGATCAGAAATGAATCTTCCAATCCAGAACCCCATGTTTTCCGGTGGACAGTTTGCAAGTCCGTCTGCTGAATTAAATAAAGTTTGCAATACATCTCCACCAAAACTTTGAAATAGTTTATCAAATATCTGAAACAAGGGAACAAGGATCAAGAATGTTACTATTCTCATTAACCAGAAACAATAAGACCTTCATTTATAAAGTTATCAATATTTTACAGCTACACAATAGTGCAAGAAAATTTCTCAAAGATACAAAATCACAGAAAGTTTGATATGTGATCAAAACTGCAAGGCAATTAAACCATTTTACTCCCAACATTAAACTCGGTCCCATCCTCTTCTATGCATTATCTAGATCTTCAAATTCTTTTACGTGCACTCCAACCACGAAACAACTCAAAGCTGAGATAGCACATTCCAATTATCTGGATCAATACCAAATGCATTGGGCGCTAATTTTTGGGATCAACAATTTGCTTCATTGATGGATCTCACCCTCCCCCCACCCCCGCCTCGTTGCTGGACTCTCTCGACATGAACCCTGATCCCTGCCCTTGCAGCCATGACACACAAGCTTTCTCCCCGCCTCATTTACATAGAAAGAAAACATTTCACAATAGAGATTGATAGGAGAACTAGAGGTAGCAGAGTCAAACTTACAAAAACCACCAAAGATAGAGCTTCTTCCTAACCATCCATTGGTCCTTCCTCACCTGGATCAAGAACAGCTTTCATTCCCTCCTCAGTGTTCCCCTCAACCAGAAATTCTTCAGAGAGATGCGCACATATGACCACACAATCTGGGTGGAAAAGATCCTCAATAGGAAGGGAACCCTTGCAGAAATCCCGAAACTCGACAACAATGGAGGTCCGAATAAGATACTGGTTCCTATAGGTGAGGAAAGAAAGGGATGGGAGGCTTTATATAGTCTTTTAAAGACTTCCCCTATTAATGATGCACCAACCTCAAATCCCCCCACCCCAATTGAATACTACTGAAACTGCTTTAAACAGCACAACTACCTAATGCGATATAAATGTCATTAAGAAAGGGAAACAGGTTGTGATGGAAGACCCCACACCTTGCCTTGCCATCCTCCTCCAAACAAATGAACAAAAAGGTTCATGGAACTTTTGAATACTACCCCAAAGCAGATCCACAGCTTGAACCTTCCATCATTATCATCAGAAAGTATTTTCATGACGATTGGTTCAATGTTACCAGTGCACTCCTGGAACATATCAGCCACTTCTGCACCATAAATCCCTTCTTTATGAACATGAATCTCCTCCGATGTGAAAGCAAGGACCAAAGCCTTATTATTTGCGGCATTAAAGAATGGTACAAAGTCGGAAGATTCCATCTAAAGTTTATGCCTTGGAGCCCTGAAGTGGCAGCCCTTTCCCCTAACATTCCACCTTATGGTGGATGGATCAAGATTAGGAACCTCCGATTGGACAAATGAAATAAGGAGACCTATAAATCGTGAGAGTCCTTCTAAGGATAGTTTAGGAATGGTATTAGTATTATAGTTAGGGTTATTATAGTAATTAGTTAGGGGTGAGTTTGTCATAAATAGTAGTAGGGAGGGAAGAAAGATATCTTGGGAATAGTGTATGGTGAGGAACTTGAAAGAGTTCTTGGGACAGAGATAGCCCTCTCAAAAGACTATTGATATTGTAATTTCTCTTTGATATTGCAATATAGTTATCTTGTTTCGTTTAGTATATTTGGGAACCTAATAGATTCTTGTGGTGGTTATGTTGAAGCAACCAAAA